TAATTAAAATCGAAGAGAAATTCATAAATAGAAATGAAAGATTGTAGCATTATTTGTGTACATCATTTTTCGAGTAAAATATTTTATTTGTCGAAAGTGATTCAATAAATAAATGAACCTATAGTTTATTTGTCCTTAAATCCCTAAATGTTAATGTCTCGCTAGTGATCTTCAGTCCTAATGCACTGGACGAATTAATGCACGTCGACGATTATAAAGTTCGCTAGTTTCCAACTTGCACGAGCATCGATGGAGAGCTCCGAATCCGTCAGGGACCGTGCTTTGGTCCACTTTCCCGTTCAATTCCGGTCTATCCGCGACCGAACGACAGCGCGAGCAAACTACTTTAATCCTTCGACAAACACGACACGAATGCATTCCGTTCCCGGCCAGAATCTGGGCCAGATTGTATTCGAGCACGTGCCATTGCGGGATCAAGTTTGGGCTCCAACGCGGTGTGTGCCGACGCCACAGAATACGAGATGCAACAGGACTGCGTCCACCGGGAGAATAATGGTCGTCGGCCCCGCAGCTGAATTCGGCGCACGTGCGCCCATTCAAGACAAGGGTTGAAGTATCGTGAGGTCGCGACAAATATACTGTGCGCCGTGAAACGTTTACTGTCGACCAGAATATGGTCTATCGCCTGATTCAAATATTTCGCGATTGCATTCCGACTTCCCCTCCCTTGCTTCGTCTTCCCTTTAGTTATATTAATATTCCAAGTTCGAGCGGGGTATCAGGATATCTTAGAAGGTCTGAACTCGCAAAATTCATCGCTTCATCATGTTACAAATTCTGTTGGTCGATAATCACGTACCTATAGTTCGTGCAACTTGATTCGCCTGAAACTCGGGGTCGTTCAGATTGACAAGGAAACATTATAAGCATAATACGATATATTCTATTTGAATAGAATTAAATTCACGATGTGTAATGATTAATTTGATATTGAAACTTACTCCGTGTATAATTAAAATATCTCTTTAAATGAAGTGCACAATAAAGTACATTGAGTCTTCAAGCAACATACTACTACATTTTTAATAAATGTAGATTTGTTAGAATATGAATTCATATCAAAAGTCTGATTTCTGTTTGAGACTTCTTTTCCTTAAAGTAAATCTTTTGTTCCTCAAATATGAATAAAGACTGAAGAGAAGATATTATCAACAACCGACCAACAAATTCTATGACTTGGAAAAATCATAAATGAGACGAAGACTCTTTGAAATATACGAGAGAATTTTCTCACAATTTTGGCATTAAACTTTTTAAATTAATTATTATGATTAAAATATACTAAAATAGTAGAGAGAACCATTCTCTACTGTCAGGAACGGTTCTGTATAGTTTTTTGTAGTAAGCGAAACGAACATGCTATATTGTAACTAACTTGCTTCCATAGTGGAACAAATATCACGATGTAAGTTGTTTACACATAAATTCCACATTAAATTAATAAAATCGTAATAAAAATAAGAAATAGGTCGCAGAACTTCTTGGTATTTTTACTTGTATTTTTAAAGTTATTTTATAATGATTAAATAGCAAAATATTGTAACAGAAAAACAAATATAAACTGTTTTAGTTATACACTATTACTAATATAAATATTAAATACAGATTATATAGAAACATTAAATGAAATTAAATATAGAAATATTAAATATATATTTCGTCAGAGTTAAGTGTTGTAACTAAATATATAATTACATAATAAATTAACATATTCCCTCTATATATATATTAATGTCTGATTTCAATCATTTTATGATAATTAGTTTTTATTCAAAATACATGTCGCATGGTAACAGAAACTTTTCTTTTAACTATAAATATGTCACGTAAATTTAGGGCCATAATATACAAAAAACTTAAGCAGTGAAACGTAAGCAGTAAGTGAATTGATTAATCACAGTAGAGACCGTAAGGCCATAATGTAAGCAGTAACAAATCCAACATGTTGATTTTCTTACTGCTTACTTTTTATAGTTTTTGCGTGCCATGATCTTTACTCTCTCAAGCTGAAGAACATTAATATGAGATTATTCAAAAATTTACTTGTCTCTTTTTGAATCAGATTTTTCTCTTTTTTACAGTACTTGTTTGTTGATTTAACTGAATCTTAGGGAAAAGTAAATATTATAAAAGAGATACTTTGCGGTAACTTTTCATTGCTTTTTTCATAAATACATAAACGAAATGTCAATTTATTTCTTGTTCCAATAAGTCTCAATCTTCCTTATATCTTTTCGATATAGAAATTGAAATAATCTCTAATGCATCTATTTCAATTAGAACAATAGCCGCATTATTCAAACATGTAATTACTTACGTCTACTCTCTTCCTCTTATATCTATGGATCAATTATTTTTAAACCCGCCTCTTGTAGAGCATTACTGGATCAAAAATGAAATTCAATCGTTAATCAGATTAGTCAAATGTATTACGCATATATCGATCGGACGTTAATTTCTAGTTTATACACTACGGGAATTCGTGTGGCGTTGATTAATCACCTTTGTAACGCCCAACGTAGAACGCATGCCATACATTTGACTACGTGTGCTGTGTAAACATGCCGAATTATTAGGACTGCAATTAATTATGCGGTAAAAAGTAATTTATCGTTGCATTCCCAATGGCCAAGTCCAATGAATGATTTATCGAACATTCGCTTGGAGAACAGAAAAATTAACAAAAAAACGCCATTTAATTAGCCGCTTTAATGGTAACAAGTGCAAATTCGTAATCAAAAAACGCCATCGCGTAAAATATGAAAAAAAAGTCGGCAATGCGTTATCGTTTCGCCAATTTTCGAAAGACAGCGCCGTATCAGGTATATTAATGAATTGAAAAAATCGATAGTACTGCTAAAGGATAAGCGTGAATCCCTTTTAGCGATCCCTCGTATGGAAGTAATATGGTTCGAGACTTGTCTTGAACTTCTTGAATGAGCAATGGCGAAACGGAGCAGCAATAAGCAACTTCGCCGAATCGTGCAATGGCCATTTAGCCGAGTGTTGAAAGACGGTGGCAGTAATTAATGAGGCATACGTAAAACCGAAGGGGAACTTAGGGAAAACTAAGTGGGCACGTGCGTTGTAACTCCCGTGTATCAAGAGAACTTGTGTTAATGAATCTCCTAAGGCAGAAGAAGCAACTGCACTAGAACTGTAGAGAATATCTTCTAATTATTACACACTAATTATATATTTGCTCTAATAGACAGAAGATAAGTAATTTAGATATTATCATTGAAGTCTAATATAAAGAACTATACATTTCGTAAAAAGAATTTTTAAATCTAGTCAAAGACCATTAAAAAATTATTAATCCAGCCAACTGAAAACAGTATAGTGATGAATTAATCTTTCTTTTTACTTATTTTGTTATGCTTAAAAAGGATATCAATTATATCAACATAATAAATAATGAATGTGGTTTGCTTACGAAATGCTTCATGTACTATTTCATTTATTGCCATACTTTGTCTACACATATAAGTTTATACAGTATCTTTTAGCCTTCTATGTTATTTTAACTACATAACATTCACATTTACCACTGCATCGTTCAGCATTTGCATAACTTAAGTCGGTATATCTCAAGTGTGCTCCGTAATGAGTGTAACTCTCGTCATTTTGATAATTCCGCAATTTCTTAACGTATTTTCTCGTTACTTCCGATAAAGCTTTATAATTTATAACAGTTTATTCGGTGGACATTAAGTGCTTTTATCATATGAATTAAACTATTACAACAGTCAAATTGTTAACAAACGAGAAATAAGCATACATTGAAAGCAACCAAAGAACATGAAGTGTATGAATTTATGAATTCTATAAACAGGATTATCTCATGTTAATAAATTCCTGAAAATCAACATTAATCTGGGAAAAGGTATAGGAAACACGCTTCGCAAATGCCATGAATAGAATCAATCTCGGTATACCATCATTTCATTTCCGAAACTAGCAAAAGCGGATTAACGAAGAGCTTCTCAACGAGAAGTAAATGTAAAAATTATAAATTAAATGAGATAAAATATATAATAATCGTTACTTCACGGATAATATTTTTCTAAATGTATGTGTAAATTAAGTTGAAGTTTCATCTTTTTCTATCACATATGGATAAATAAATTCATAATTCACGCATATATGGCTTTGTACTGATCTGAATAGACTTTGTATTTAAATCAGTAATCTGATATCTAATCTTATTATTACAAATCAATAGAAGATTTATACATAAATCAAATAAAATAAATTTAACATAAATAAGAAAAAAGAAATTTTTCTAAAAGCGCAGAATAAAATACAATTAATATAAAATAAAATAGAATTATTTTGATTGCTTAGCAATTGGCATAATATCTCTCTTAAATTAAAGAAAGAAGAAAAGAAAATAAAAAAAGAATGAAGATAATAATGT